GCAGTTTTCAGGGCGGGCCGGGCGTTTCGCCTGAGACGTCCTCACCATCTACGACTTTGTGCGGGTGGTTCCCAACATGTGGTTCTCGCCTTAGCGCCGCGCACATTCATTTTGAAGATTTGCAAGAGCTTCACGGATTGAGGGCGGGCGGTGTTCAAAGTGAGGCTCTCGCTTTAGCGCCGCGCACAATTGTTTTTCATATTTGAGGGAGCTTCACGGATTGAGGGCGGGTGGTTCTTAAAATGTGGTTATTGCAGTAGTGTTGCGCACATCGTGGTTTTCAAAATGTGGCTCTCGCCTTAGCGCTGCGCACATTCGTTTTTAATATTTGCAAGAGTTTCGCTGATTTGGGGCGGGTGGTTTTCAAAATGTGGCTCTCGCCTAAGCGCCGCGCACATTCGTCTTTAACATGGATTGAGGGCGGGTGGTTTTTTAAATGTAGCTCTCGCCTAAGCGCCGCTCACATTCGTTTTAAACATTTGCAAGAGGTTCACGAATTGAGGGCGGGTGGTTTTCAAAATGTGGCTCTCGCCTAAGCGCCGCGCACATTCTTCTTTAATATTTGCAAGAACTTCACGGATTGAGGGCGGGTGGTTTTCAAAATGTGGCTCTCGCCTCAGCGACGCGCCCATTCGTTCTGAACATGTGCAAGAGTTCACGGATTCCCATGATCAATGTACCAGGCATATTGTACAGGAAGGATTCAGGATTATACGGGTGCAACAGTTATGTTGATTCGCAGTGTTGAAGTCCCAAAACTGGCTTTCTGGCACGATTCAGGATCGTCAAGACGCAGCAGTCAGGTTGATCCGTGGCTCTGAAATCCCCCAAACAATGTTTTGGCATGTTTCAGGGTTGTCAAACGGATGCCTTCCAACGAGGCAGTTCCCTCAATGGAAATGAGCCGTTGTAGGGGCCTATGAAGAGGGAGCTTGGAGGGAAATTCCAACATCATTGATGACTTTTGGGTTTGCACTGGTCCTCCTCCTCCTCCTCCTCCTCCTCCTCCTCTTCCTCCGCCTCCTCCTCCTCCACCTCCTCCTCCTCCTGCCACACCCAAAGCCTCTCCCCTCCTCCCTCCTACCCTAACTCCTCCTCCTCCTCCTCCTTGTCCTAATCCTCCTCCTCCTCCTCCACCTCCTCCCCTCCTCCTCCTATCCTCATCCCTCCTCCTAGTTCCTCCTCCTTCCCCTCACTCCCCCACCCCCGCTTCCCCCTCCCCCTCCTCCTCCTCCTCCTCCTCCTCCTCCTGCTCCTCCTCCTCCTCCTCCTCCTCTTCCTCCTCCTCCTCCTCTTCCTCCTCCTCGCGTCGAGACGACAATCAGCACGGGAGGTGTTTGCCGGATTCGGCCCCTCGGGGCCCTCGCGGGCTCCGGGACCGTCAAGAAACGATTCGGGATGAGAAGCCGTTGCTGGGGAGTGGGTCGAGACCTTTGGGGGTCGACGTGGCAAAAAGATATTGGCGTCGTGGGTTTGGGCCCTCCTCCTCCACCTCCAGAAGTCGCTGGGGGGCTTGAGAAACCTCCGGGGACATCAGCGAGTTTCCCTCCTCCTCCTCCTCCTCCTCCTCCTCCTACTCCTCCTCCTCCTCCTCCTTCCTTCCCTCCCCTCCTCCTCCTCCTCCTCCCACCACCTCCTCCGCCCCTCCTCCTCCTCCTCCCCCTCCTCCCCCTCCTCCTCCACCTACCTAATCCTCCTCCTCCATTCTCCCCCCTCCAACCTCTCCTCCTCCTCCTCCTCCTCATCCTCATCCGTCGGATCCCCTGTGCGATCCCCCATTTGTCTCGCGACCCGAAGGACCTCGGGCGCGTGCTGGTTGCCAGGCGGTGCCACTCCCTGGGCTTCGAGTCGGAGCAGCTCCTTATGAATCACTGCTCGCAGTTCGGGCGGGTCAGCAGGGTGCTGGTCATCGGGCAAGGATTGGAAAAGACGGCACGAGCATGCGCGGTCGGGACTGTTGGCTCAGCGCGTCGTGCCGCCAACTCCGGCCCGCTCGCGTCGGCGCGCCACGCCAACCACGTCTCAGTCCCCAAGGCGTCGACGTGCCGAGCTTCTCCCAGCCTCCGAGCCCGCGGAGCGATGAGCGACACACTATCCGCTGCCGCGACACGGTAATTAAGCAGGCGTTCCCGGCCATATGCTTTTTCGTAGGTTTGCGCGGGTTTGCGGAGGTTTGCGCGGGTTTTTGCGGGACTGGCGCCGCAGGCGCCGCGCGCTTCCAGGGGGTCCGACGCCGATACAAGAGATCCGCGGGGAACTCCAGAAGTGTACGTTTACGCATTTGTTGCTCCTCCAGGTCATGCACTCGAGGGTGCGGCAGAGGATGGCTGCGCGCACAAAGGGGGTGGTGCGAGGGGGAGGGGGGGCTTCTTGACATGGCGGGGGGGGCTTCTAAGAGGGCAGGGGCCTTCTTAGAGGCCCCCCCGACATCTTTGGGAGCACCTTCTCAGAAGTGTTCGGGCCTTTCCGAGGAGGCCCCTCCTGCCGACTGGCGTTTTCGCCCGTTTGCGGACCCCGGGCCCATCATAGATCGATGTGGCTCGGGAACCGCCGCAGAACGATGGGGTCTACCCAGGCATGCGACGTCCGGATTGTTTCACAACGTCGACCCCCAGAGGTCTCGACTTTTTCCCCGGCCCCAGCTTTCCATCCCGAGTCGTTCTTTTACGGTACCGGGGCTCAGCGAGGACCCGAGATGCCGAAAACGGCGAACAAACGCCCTTCCTGATTGTTGCCCCGACGCGAGCATGTCTGGGCGGGATTTCTGTCTTGCTTTTAGCGAGGATGCCGCTCTTTTTGTTGGCAGCGCCAGCGATCTCAGGGTCTGTAGATATGTCGCCGCGCCTTTTGCTCCAGCGCGCGGCCTTCCGTCTTGGGGAGGGCGCCTCGGCCACCAGGGCAGGCGCCGCCTCGGGCGCGCAGGGCTTGCCGTGGGTTTGCTGCGGTGCCGGCCTCGTCTACCTGGGGCGCGGGGCGAATGAGGAGGAGGCGGAGGACAAGGAAGGGAGGAGGAGGAGGAGGAAGAGGAGGAGGAGGAGGAGGCGGAGGACAAGGAGGAGGAGGAGGAGGAGGAGAAGGAGGAGGAGGAGGAGGGGGAGGAGGGGAGAAGTAGGAGGAGGAGGAAGAGAGGAGAAGGAGGTGGAGGAGGGAGGTTGATAGTAGTGTGGCGCTGATGCCCGTGAGAGTAGGCATCAGCCTGTAAAGTCGGAGGGGGCACAAGGGCTTACCCACCCTTGGAACGGTGCCCCAAGGTACAGGGTCCGTTGCAGGTACGTGGTATGAGTGTCAAGATATCACTAGTCAGCCGTCAGCCACCTCCGTTGTGATATACGTTGGTCCTTTCTCAGCTTGTGCGCCAGAGACGTTGGAGCGTATCTGCACACGCCGGAGGCGGCTGTGTTTTGAGAGACTACGTCTTCCTCACCTCCTGCCGGCGTGGAGGAGGCGGCGGAGTGAGAACGCCAAGGAAATTAGTGGGGGGCACTCAGACTACACAGCGCTGCGTGCGCGTGCGCGCGCGTGCGGCAAGGTGCAACCAGGGTATAGGTGGATGGTATATCTGGACAACGTAACCCCACGCCACCTCTGTACAGCATCTTAGGTGTGACAGCGGGCATCTCGGTGGCCCACATCGCCATGTACCGTACAGGTGAGAAGTCATGTTGCATGTCCCACCGCCTGTGCAGAGGATGAGTTGTCAGCCCCCAGACTCGCGCTACACGCTGGCTCCCCAACCATGTCGAAGGGCTCCAGGAGCCCTCTCAGTCAGGCAGTGGCGAAGCGTCCTGGCTCGCCTATAGCCCTACCAAACAATGTTCTAAGAACCTGGGGTGGATTCCACGGCGAGTGTGTACGCGAGCGACAGATGCTCAACGGGGTACGCCTGGCCCCCCAGTTCGCACCTCCGTGGTGCTGACGGGGGCGCTGATCTGACAATTGGTGTAGACCCTTCCCCGAGAGTTAACTTGTCGCCATTTGTGGACCACAACGACCGACAATGGGTTGCATGTGAGATTCTCTCCTCTCATCCCGCAGCCCAGTATGCCAGCAGCGGAACAAGGTGGCGAAACATAACAAACGCCCGCATTTCCATTTCCGCCTCTAGCTTCGGCCTCTTCAACAGGACAATTTTTGGGCAGTCGTACTGCGCTGGCCAAGGCAGCTACCCCGCGGGATGCCAGCCCATCCTCGGAACGTCGGGATGGCGCCGAAATTCATGAGATGTGTGTTGCTCAATGCTTGACTTGCGCGCCAGAGGAGTTGAAGGTTCGTTGCACCCGCCGAAGGCGGTTGTAATTGAGACGCTGGACCGGACTCCCTCATCTCCTGCCTCACGCTGGAGAAGGCTGAGCAAAGTCATGCATGAGACGAGTGGGGGGCACGCATACGACAGAACGCTGAGCACGCGCGTGTACGCGAGCGACATATGCTCAACCGGGTACGCCCGGCCGCTCAGCTCGCAACTCCGCGGAGATGACGGTGGCGCTGACCTGACAACAGGTGTAGACCCCCTGAGCATGGATTTTTCCGCCACTTGTAGGTGGCACAAGTTGCCGACAATGGGCGTGGCATATTCAACCCCGAAGCTGCACAATAGCGAAGATCGAAAACTGTTTGTTACCGCTTGCCCCCGACCCCCCGCGCGCCAAAACCTCACTCGCGAGTGTAGTTCGGACCTGCGTCATCAATCTGGTCACCCGTCGTCGTTAGCGCCCCCAGCGAGCACCAAAAGGCCCGCCCATGAACCCAAAGAGGACCTCAAGAAGGCCCCGAATAGATATTCAGATGGCCATGGTCATCTGAAGGGCCCAAGATAAGCCCCGAGCGAGCACCGAGCGGTCCCCCCAGGGACCCTAGGAGGCCCTCAAGAGAGCCCCGAAAAGATATTCAGATGACGACGGCCATCTGAAAATCTGTTCGGGGGCCTACGGGAGCCCGTCGGGGTCCAAGACCTTCCATCCGAAGTGCGAGAACCAGGGATATGTGATGTGCAAGATGGC